TCTTTCCGGACCGACTGATTGGAGGCTGGGATGGTGGAGGTCTAAGCACCGCACTGAGTTCGGGACTCGGGAGCGGGGGCTTAGAGTCTAAGTTTGGACGGGGACCTGGACCCCATGACAAGAGAGTGGTGGGTTGGTTCTACTTGTGCCTGGGGTACAAGCGAGGCATGTGTTTTGGGGTACCCAGCTGGGCACATTGATTCGCGAATCGCCGGTGATCCGGTATGGCTTGTCTACAGTCTAGCACCATAGTAAGAACTGAAAGATGAAATGTGGTGAAATAGAATTGTTTGCTCAACTCCTGCTTGAAAGTAGAATAGGTGCTTACATAAAATGGCTAGATAATGAAATAATCATGACTGCTAGTAATAAACATGCATAAGGATGCAATATTAGAATTGCTTTTCGCAAAAAGAAAAACCAGCAAACCATAAAGCTTATCATATCCCTTGGAGTCAGGAAATTATTCTCACTAGTCGGATAAGTCTTGCGAGTACATTGTGTACTCAGGGTTTATTTACCCCTGTTGTAGGTACAGCTTGAGGAGTAGCCATTGTGTGAAGGATTCTTCTGGTGGGCACAGACGTATCCTTGTATATTATCGATAGATGTTTCTTTTCATTCCGCTGTTTAATTTCCGCACTCTGAATTTGGTCCTGTAATAATGTATTTCTAAAAACTTTGGATGTATGAAATAGACTAAGTAATATAAACTCGTTCTTATTATTGGACCCTGAGGAAAAAATGTGGATTATTCGGGCTCTCCCTTGGGGTGTGCTCGATGAAATCCGCCCGATGTAGCTCGCTCTCGGGGTGCTTAGTGTCTAGTGGAAGACAAGCGCCTCCGTAAGTATGTTATTTCGGGCGGTTCTACCACAAAAACCATGGTTGAAATCTTTATAAAATAGAAAAGGTCTATATCACTCCAAAGATTTGCATGGTCCTCTACTTAACATCCGCCTATAAATGAAGTATTATGCATATTAAACTTTGTAAAATCAGATAAAGAACCACTTGAGGTGTTATTAGCAAACGATTTTGCTTAGCTGGCGCTCCATGCCGGCTAGCTTTGGCACCATAGCACTCAGGCTTAGGCCCACACTAGCTGGTACGCCGAGTTGGAGAACACGTCGTAGAGCGCAACAAGCACCACCTTCAGAGCCGCGTAGCCTCTAAGCAACTTCCATAATATCGATGTGTGTCCCACTTGTCCTTGACCCAACCGATCACCAAGTACTCATGTGCCCATCCTGATTTGGTATGACCGATGTCTTGACTCTGGTAATCAACACAATCTTCATCCCTTTCCCACATGTACTTCTCCTTGTCATTTCCAAATACACATGTACTTCTGCTTGTCATTTCCAAATACTAGACGTCCACAGTATGTCTTCCGGCCTTCGGTCCCTTGGTCCAAGCCTTTATGTTTGTTCTTCACTGTCTATGGCCCATTAGCCCAAACCCCTCGCTTGACCTTTGCCATCGCCGTCGATCGCCATGACACATTCAACACCTACACATCATGAGCCAAGAGACAAGTTACACAATCACCACTTCGATTTCGGTTAGTCATAACTAAGAACAAGTCAACCACAAGGACAAATCATCCATGATCACAATGGCACATCTGAACCTTGTCATCTCACATGTTGCAACTTATTTTAGCTGTGCTTATTCCCACCAGCCCCACTTGTACTTGTTTTGACCGTGCTTTTACTCTATTTTTATGTAGTTTCTCAGGGAAACGCTTCCTAAAGAGGTTGTATCAAACAGGACCAAGCCATGTATGGATCTACCGATCATAATGATTTGCCTGAATTACGAAAGATATGATATTATTGCAATCATTACATCATAAAAGCAGGCATACAGCTAGAGAATGAAGCATCATTAGAGGAGAATGTAGGCAAAGACAAGTTAGGACACTCCCAATGCAGACTTTACCATAGTTTCTATGTCTATTTATTAGCCCTATATTTATTGATTTTTGTTGATGTAGCACTATATTTATTGAAGAAAGAGAGGGAAAATACAAAAAACCGAGTCTAAGATAGACTCGACGTCTTCACGTGCAGCGAGGCGCCGTGGATGTTGGAACTGGTGGTGACCACCGAGTTCTCGATCTTGGAGCTGGCTTGCAGCCAGCCCGGCTCGTTACCATAAGCCTATGCTCCCACAGGTTCCAGATCCACTGGAGCTCCAACATACCAAGGTTTTGGGCCTAACTTAACCAAAAAAACTAGCTTGATAAGTTGTACTGCCCCCACCTTATATGTTGTGTCCCCCTACCATTGATATCTTCCCCACTTTATATGTTGTGCCCCTGTGTGATAATCTCCCCGTAGTCACACATCAGGGTGCCTCGATACCAATTGTTAGAACTGGTGGTGTCCATTGGAGTCACACATCAGGGTGCCCCCGCTATGATGTGACGTTTGAGATTTTTAACGGGTTTAGCTTTTCTGACCTTGGGCGTCTTTGATACCAATTGTTGGAACCGACCTTGGGCGTCTTTGATACCAATTGTTGGAACCGGTGACAGCCAGAATGGCTCGTTCCAGGCGCCTACGCTCTCATAGGAGCCAAGTCCATTGGAGCTCCAACATACCAAGGTCTTAGGTCTAACTTAACTCAAAAGACTATTGCCTAATAGGTTGGATTGCCTTCATCCTATATGTTGTGCTCCTCTGACATCGATATCCGATGTGGAACCCAACAGTGGAAACCATCCAATACAGCGTTGGGGGAGGAGCGTTCGGTTTCCATCCACGAATGCGGATCCTGTGCGCGCCGCTGGTGAAGCACCGCTCCTGCGGCCGCCGCCGTCACGGAACTCGCGCAGCCACCGCCGTCACGGAGCCTCACGCAGCCACCGGCGGGATTTGGCGCGCCGCCGTCGCGGAGCCTCGGGCGGCTGCCTCGCACACGCGGCCTCCGCGGAGCCAGCTCGCTCGCGCGACCACCGACGAGATCTCGAGCGCCACCTCCCCGGAGCTGCCTCGCTTGCGCGGCCACACCTCATCAAGGAGTTCGCGCCTCGTCGCGTCCGAGCTCATGTGCGTGGCCACTGCGCCACCGCCCGCAGAAGTCACGCGTGGCCGCGCCGCCGCCCACGGAGCTCGCGTCCACGCCGTCGTCCGCGAAGCTCGCGTCCGAACCTGTGCAGGTCGCCGCGTCCTCGTCTCCCTTCCCGTCGCCTCCCCTACGCACGCGAGTTCGCACGTCCTCGTCTCACTTCCCCTTGCCTCCCCAGTGCACGGATGCGTTGTGTCCTCATCTCCCTTTCCCTTGCCTCCCCCGTGCACAGATGCAGAGCAGCGCAGCGCAGCGGTGCCTCCGGCTCCACGGGAGACGCAGAGGTCCGTGAGATTTGGAGGCTGACACACAGAGGATCCCTTACGGGAGAGAGGGATGATTGGTTGATTTTCGTATATGACTCTACGCAGAAGAAGTCGCAATGGGGAGAGCAGTTTCTCAGTACAATAACCTAGGCTATACAAACTATAGATATTTTATACATTTTGAGCGCCCTTAGGCCGTAAATCAACGAATGATTATTTATTCTTCACTCATCATGAAGATTTTCTTGTGAACTAGTATAAAAGGTACGATATTATCGCAATTAAAATTACAGCATAAAAACAGGCATACAGCTAGAGAATGAAGCAGCATTAGAAGAGAACGGATAGTAAAGACTAAGAGCAACTCCAAGAGATTCTCTATATCCTTTCTAAATCTTAAGAATAGAGATTTTGGTGAAAAATTATCCTCCAACAGCTTGTCTAAATGGTTATGCATATTCTGGATTTTTCGTTAGCCAAAAATAGAAGATGAGAATGGCTCTCTAGAGTGTACACGAGATATAGAAAAACTGTTGGAGAGTGAAAAGATTTAGAAAATAATTTTTATAGAAATGACTCTCTCCAACTAATGATTTAGAAGGTGAGATTTAGAAAGACTCCTTAAAATGCTCGACTGGGAAACTGAAAGTCCGGCAAGCAAAGAATGCTTATTTATTCTCCACTCATCTGAGGCGTCAGATGGTCAGAGTTTGATCTAAAGTAGAGGGACAAGCCCAAGCCCGACATGCCATCTGATCGATCACGGCCTGCCGTTGACTTTGCGGCAGTTGGTCCTGATCTCCCCGTTGGCGGCGGTCTTGACCTCGACACCGCCCATTTTCACCATGGCCTTGGCAAACTTGCTCTGCCATAGATAGGGGACGAAGTCCGCGTAGGCGCGCACCAGGTTGTTCGATGAGAAGTTTGTGGTGAGGGCGGCGTCCGACGTGAAGAGCACCTTGTGGGCCACCACGTTCTTGTAGTACTGGTTGTCCAGAACGTTGGGGGTCACGGCGTCCTGCATCACCGTGTTGTCGGTGCCATTGGCCGACGCGCAGCTAGCCTGCAGCGTGGCGGCGAACGCCGGGTCGATGTCGGAGGTGTTGCTGGGCGGGAGGCGGTCCCTGGTGAAGGACGAGCAGTGGGAGCGGCCGATGCTGTGCGCGCCGGAGAGCGTGACCATGTCGAAGACGTCGAGCCCCTTGGCGGCGAACATCTTGACGAGCAGGTCGAAGCCGCCGAACGGCGGGGGCAGGTTGAGGAGGGTCTCGTTGGCAAGGGAGACGTTGCCGTCGTAGCGGCCCGCGGGCATCACGAAGCTGATGTTGCCGCCACTGAGGAAGTAGGACGCGTCGCGGGCGGCGAACGCGACAATGTCCGCACACGAGACCTTGCCGGGGCACGCCGCCTCGAGCTCTGCCTTGGCCGCGTCGATCACCTCGTAGCCGCGCAGGCTGGGGAAGTTGGGCGGGCCGAACTTCTCTGGGGTCAGGCTGGTGTCGTTGCTGAACGTGTCGATGAGGACGGAGGCGTCGCATCCCTGCAGAAAACCATACATCGCATCACATGTCCATCCTCCATCGCAATGTCATTACTCATTATTGTTGCATCGCATCGCATGCATGCATGCATAATACGTAGGGCATCGCTAGCTTTTGATCAATGGAGAAATGTTAGTCTTACACGGACGAAGCAGTCGTGGAAGAAGAGACGGACAAGCCCGGCCTGCATGCCAGCATCAGTGGCATCGACGTGCTTCTTGACGACGGCCTCCACGTCCACGTAAGCGCCGCACTTGTTCTTGTAGTATCCGACCACGAGTTGCGTCCCTGGGCTGGGTGGTGGGGGTGCGGGCGTAGGCGCGGGTGGGCTCGGGCTTGGAGGTGGGCTCGTCGGGGCCGGAGGAGGAGGAGGATAAGAAGGGACGGGTGTGGGCACAGGGGCAGGAGTGGGCGGGCTTGGGCTTGGGCTTGGGCTTGGTGGAGGATAAGTAGGTGGGGACGTGGGCACTGGAGCGATAGGAGGAGGTGACGGGGTGGCCGGAGGCGGGCAAACGGGTGGTGGTGGTGGTGGCGGCGGTGTGCTCGGAGCCGGAGATGGTAAGTAGCCTCCGCCCTGGCATGACACGGAGCCGAGCAGGGCGAAGGCAGTGAGGACGGCGAGCTTATTAGGGCTCATCATCGTCGCTTAATTCCTCCTGGTCCTGATCTCAGACTGGTAGAGAAGAGATGGAGGGCAAGTAATTAAGCTCGGAGCGAGCGATGGACGACTGAAGAAAAGCTGCCGTCTTGCATGCCTATATATAGCGGCGCCGGCCGTGGAATGCATGTTATGGAGAGTAGGTAGGTGAGTGAGATCCAGTGCTCCACGAAGCTCACACAGCTCGATCGGACATTCGTTGACTTGGAGCTCGTTTCACGTACTTACTGTATTGATTGATGAATAAGCTAGCGAGGTCCAGCTCCAGCGGGAATTGGCCGGCTAACCGCGTGGACGTACAAAGGCCGCCAGCGGTGCATGCAAATTGTATGTGCAAATGATGGTATGTTTAATCCTTACGCTCTCCAATGGTATTTCATTTATCATGGTAACATGCTCAACCAACGTGCACGTGGTATAGGGTATCTCACTTGTATGCGTCGTGTTCTTCAGGCCACTTGGTAACTGAACTGAACTGGGGCAGTCGTCGGTGCGAACACGTACTTCCCTACATGCATGCATTCAGGAATGTCATACTACACTACAGTCCAGTTACTTGAGATATAGTGGCGGATCTACAAAAATAAAAGTTAGGAGGGGCTTCCCCCATTATCTTCTACCTCTAGTCCCTTCTTGCAAGCTTCCATGGTACCAATTTGTAGCCGTGGTTTAGGAGGGGCTCCATATTTTGAGTAGCAGTAGTAGGGCCTTGTTTAGTTCCAAAAACTTTTCTCAAAAAGTGCTACAGTAGCCATCACATCGAATCTTGCGATACGTGCATGGAGCATTGAATGTAGACGAAAAAAACTAATTGCACAGTTTGGTGGGAAATCACGAGACGAACGTTTTGAGCCTAATTAGTCCATGATTGAACACTAATTGCCAAATAAAAACGAAAGTGCTACAGTAGCCAAATTCTCAAATTTCGCGGAACTAAACAAGGCCTAGGGGTTTGAGTCTACCTCGCTCCGGTGCTAGATCCGTCCCTGTTGAGGCGCTATGAGCACGGACCATGAGTTTGGATCAGATACGAACCAGGAGAGACGCGAGGGCGCTTTGGGAAGTAAGAAAAAGGAGTGGAGGGAAGAATCATTTTGAGTCTATAAAACCATATGCTTGCTTTCTTAATAAGCAGAGTTAACGTTCGAAAAAAATATAAATCAGTTTTTAGAGTTGTCCTAAGTCAAACTTTTATAAGTTTGATCAATTTTACAGGAAAGAATATTAACATCTATAACACTAGACGAGTATACTATGAAAATATATTTCATGGTTTACCTAATAATACTAATTTTATGTCAAAAAATATTGATGATATATTCTATAAATTGAGCCAAACATATAAAAATTTGATTTAGGATAATTTTAGAAGTTGATTTATTTAGAGACCAATGTAGTATATATAGAGAAAGTATATAAATATAGATAGATATACATAAATACTCCCTCCATACTAAAATAAAATCATTTTGGACAGCGACACGGTCTCCAAAGTATTACTTTGACTCCTTATTTTTATAAAAATATTTATCAAAAAGTGATATATGTATATTTTTATGAAAGTATTTTTCAAGACAAATCTATTTACATGGCTTTCACATTTTTAAACTCAATAACTTAAAAATTATTCATGATTTATATTCTCAATGTTTGTCCCAAGCGTTTTTCAAAACGACTTTATTTTTTAAGTACGGAGAAAGTATATATTATCATATAGAACGTACGTAGGATAAGGCGGCTAAGGGCTATGTACAAAATAAAGCTGGCGCTACTACACAATGTTCATTCGTGGAAGGCAGCCAGGAGTTAGGTACAACTCTGTAGCTCGTAGCTCACCCTTAGGTCTTAAGTCGAGGTTTTGTCTTCCTCTGCATCACTTACGCAAACGACCATGCATTTGACCGTGACATTACTAAAAGGAATGGTCAACACTGGGAAGAATTTAGCAGCCGGGCATAGCGGAACTACCGGTAGTTAACTACGTACTCATTGCGAGATGGCATCTGTGATCTGTGGATCAAGCTCGATCCAACTGGTGAATCAAAGTCAATATAAATATTTGTTCACTGCGTAATAACTTTGCCTATCTCAATGTAACTCACGACCTCTTGTTACAACTGCCAAACTCACTATGCCCAAAAAATGAAACTAGTGTGCTTAGGAACATTGCTAGAGAAGCTACGGAGTGAAATCAAAGTTAAGACCGAAGCATAATGAACATTTCAATGCAAGGTGTGGAAGTTTTGCTCTCTTTTTTTTGAAATTTTGGACAATATGTGGAAGTTATGCAACTCCCAGGAACAATGTTGGAGAGAAGATAAGAAAAATTAAAAATTCAACCAGATGACCCTCCGAGAAATTAAGAAATTTTAAATGCATGCTCATAATTTCATGGGGACTCTTTTGCACAAGGATACCAAAAAAAGATCTACAAGAAAGGTGGGGATGTATGACGACCCGATTACATCACAAATCTTCAAAATTTTATCGTAGTATGGAAATCTATGATGTTTGCATGACGAAAACCTGCTCGTCATAGGTCATCATGTTAAACCTCATTTTATGTTAAAATCAATTTTTTTGTCATTGATTTTATGATGATCCTTATTGTGCCATAAATTTATGACACTAGATTTTTGTCGCTAACTAATCCAAAAAAGCACGTTGCTTTTCATAGGTTTTATGAAAAAACCATAGAAGGGGAGGACTTAAGAATAAACTTTAGAAAACAAAAACAAAATAAAAAACAAAATCAAAACCGACCAAAAGAAGTCCAAACAAATCTTATGTGGTTTTAGGTGTAACTTCTCCAACCTATAGTGAATATTTTATCCAAAAGATTATGATTTCACCATCAATTTTAGAATTTGGGAAAACCTAATAAGAATCTTGGTTGGAGTCCACAAATTTGAGGCTCTCATAAGGGGAACAAATATATGATTATTAAATGTTTGTTCTCACATATCCCTATGAATCGAACAAGAATCCATTTATTGGCATTGATGTTTTGATGGGCGGGCTTTAACATCTTCCACCAAATTTCAACATATCCTTCAAATACTTGGCTTGGCTCACAAATGCACTCTCTCTAAGTATTGGCGGTCCTTAACTCATATTTTTACCCGGCAACTTTACATGAAATTTATACAAATAAACATCAACACTTAGAAACAGGGTTTTATAATTAATCAATTCCATGAGTTTTGGTGATCTATCAATTGCAGGAGGACATGTCGGAATAACATGGAAAATATGCCTAAAGTATACAAGAAACGCAACATTATAGGCGTCCGACATGAGCCCAAGGGGAGATGGCCCGCTTACCAGTAGAATTAGGGCCCGAAAGAGTAGAGAACAAGCCCAAAATCAAACCAAACCAACTCAACTCCACGCCAAACCACCATGGCCCAAGTCCAAAGGATCAAAGGAGGCAATCCAACGAAGTTGGGTCAATTTGGACCAAGGCCCCCACCTGCATCGACTGGCCCTAGGTTTGGTCGGTCGCCTCATACCACCTCTCCAATGACGGTTCTGGGGGTTTGGCGGTGCAATCAATGTAGAGGACGTCAATTTACTCTTTCCATTTGAGGAGATCCTGGGAATATTATAGGAATATTGCCCTCCTCTCCACCTATAAAACAAGGCTACCTCCTCCTCATTCAACAACACACCAAGGAAGAGAGCAAGAAGCAAGAGCAACACTCCACGGCTTAGGCCATAGCTATCTATAGTTGTGTACAAGGGAGAGATGTGAGAGAGAGTTCAGGGAAGCGCCGGACTTGTCGGTGTCTCCCCAACTTGTACCTCGATGAACACCTGTACCTCAATGGAATCTTCCGCTAAGTGAGTGCCCGTGGTTCTCTTGGTTGTAAAGTCTTTTGATTAGTTACGCTTTACTCTTACTGATTTGCAGGTTCATCGTCTATCCCCATGGCGGATACTCTAGGAGAGGGCTCCTAATAAAGATGGATAACCCTGATCGACGCTAGAGTAGTAGTCGATAGCGTAGACGTGATGTCTAGGCTAGAGGCATCGTTTATTTATCCATAGACTCTAAAACCATAGGAATCTACCTCAACCTCTATGAACTCTATCCTTGTGTTGTCCTTGGACAAATGAGCTAGAAGAAATACATCCGTTCCCTGTGGAAAATACGATATCCTAAATACTTATGGGTGAAAGCTACAACGGTAATTTTGTACGCTTACGGATTAATTCTATAGACGTTAAGAAATACCAACAAGCTTTCTGGCGCCATTGCCGAGGAACGGTTGCCGTATTTTCTTTGAACCTAGTTCGTCCTCGTATCTGTATCTTTTATTTTATAAAGACAAAAAATATTTTCTTTTTATAACCATGAAATCCACTCTTATCAAAAATCCTTCCACTTCAAAGGGTGAGTTCGCTGTGCCACCACCAAAACCAAACCTTTCATCTAGCAGCGAACTCCACCCTAGTTTAAAAGCTATGGTTCGAGCACAACGTTTCTCAGGGCATGATAATGAGAACTCCTGCCATCACTTGCACGAGTTTGAGGAGATGTGTTCGTGCCTAAGCATCCTAGGCATGACACAGGAAACACTAAGGTGGATATTGTTTCCCTTTTCTCTCATAGAGAAGGCGAAGCAATGGTACACTCAAGCCATAGAGAGCACGAATAGGGATTAGGATGAACTTAAGGATAAGTTCTGTCTTGCATTCTTTCCTATATCTCGTAGTGTCTCTCTACCAAGGGTAATCCTTGATTTCGAGCATAATGAGAAGGAGTCTATAGATGCAGTCTGGGCTAGGTTTTCAACCTTAATACATGCTAGCCTAGATTTGTCTTTACCTGAGGATGTATTATTGCGTCTCTTTTGTTCAGGTATTAACATATATGCTGACCTATGTCTAGATGTGACTGTCGGAGGCTGGTTTACACATAAACCCATGACGGATCAAGTCAGATTCCTTGAAAACTTCCTAGAAAGTCACATTCCCTC